AGTTTCCATCTAACTTTATAACAACTTTGCTCACTGCTGCACTCGAGTACAACCAGATACAAAGTCTGGAATTATCAAACCAGTCCTTGAGAGAGGGGGACTGTCCACTGGAAAGCAAATAATTTGCAAGTATACAGAAATCAGAGAGGACAAATGACTGGATACGAGAGCTTAGCAACTTGGACTCAGCAACGTGGAATGGGTGAGGAGGGAAAAAATTGCTATTTTCCCCTGGATACAGTACCATTCATACTTTTGTGAGGGTCACACTATGGTATTTTGCACAGTTCTGATGTTCACACACTTAAAAGGACGCAGAATGATTTGGACAGAAATAGTGAGATCACTCAAAATTATTCAGGAGATGAAAAGAATTCCTTCCCGTGGAGGTGTTAAAGAGCTCAATCTGTTTAGCTTATGAGCCAATGAGAGAAACTTGATTAAAGGAATATAGCATCAGGTACAAAAGCATTCTTTGATTTAGAGGACACAGTAAAATAGCTATAATGTACAGAAAGCAAGTCCTAGCGAGTTACAAAACATCAGCTTTCTATTGAGTATACGCAGTACATTACAGTTTTAGTCATACAATCATGAAGTATTTTCTTCTACAAGAAGCCTCACTGAGTGTGCAGGATAGCTGGTGGTTATTTGGAATGTTTTTATTCCTAGCTTAATCCATGGCCCCATGACTCATTGTACGCCATTTAAACCTAGCACCAAACACAGCTCTGCTTCTTTCAGCATTGACTTTCATTTGGCTGTCACTTTAACAGCATATGAATGTAATTCAATGAACTGAAAGAGATACAGGAAGATAAAAGCCCTCATAACGTGTGTTACACAACACTTCACCTGGACAAAGGGTGATTCAAACACTACCCTAAATTTCTTAAGTTGTTCATAAACTTCTGATTAACCAAGCTAAGTATTTTCACTAGTGGTAGAAGCATCAACAAGCCTTTTCGTGCTGTTTTCAAAGTTACTTTAGAAACTGCTGTAAGAACAAATGGCCAGAATCAGCTCTAGGTTTGAGTGGGTTTATCTCTGCTACAGAACAACCTTGTGCAGATATTCCAGATCTGCCATAACATGTCAGAAACCGAATGGCTTCTGCAAGTTCCTGGTAAACCCTTCCTTTATCAATACCTGCAATGTAGTTGCTGCAGCATTTATCCATACTTTTACGTGCAACTGTTCTACACAACAGAAGCTCCAAGGTCAGATGCTTTTTCAAGCAGACTCTGATCAGGTCACTGCTTGTGAGTCACCAAGGATGGAATGTTTCCTTTCTGTTCACAGGAGCACATCTGCTGCTGTGATTTACAGATTGGCTATCCATTTATCATCTGCAATGGGATTTTTGTCTCTGCTGTGAACTGCCTGCCAAGATGAGTTCCTCTGCCCGGAGCAGCACTGTCCTTGTGCTAACATAGAATGTTTGGGGTTTCCTGATCAACATTTTGCTACAGATGTTCCTTGAAGCCTTACAAACAGTGACATAAACAAATCAGATAGAAACCATAAGCCTTCACCCCCTAATTTGGCCGTGTACTGGGAGGAAATGGAGCATACCCATGGATTTTCCTGGCCATAGCTCTAATAGCATGCCCTAGATCCAGTTCCATCTCAGCCCGTTTCAGAACAGTCCCAGTGAACTTTCTCCCACCGTATCCCTTGAGTCCACAGCTACATCTTCATTGCCGGCTGCACATCAAACCTTACCCTGCTCCTCACTACAGCCTTTTTTCACATTTCCCCACAGCTGTCCTTAAGCCCAGATTACCGCACCCCTTTCTTTCTACCAGGCTGCCATTTCTCCTAACAACCCAAGCAGCTCCCAGTAGAGGCAGGAAGCTGGGAGATCCAAGCATTCCCCTTCCAGTCCCTGCTTCTGAACATAGCAGCACTGGTGACAGCAATCTTCATAGACACTGTGATCTTAACAACACATACCTACAGAACAGTTATGAACCCCAGATTTTCAGAGAGCCATGACTTTGCCACGCTCCAGCTTAATTTCCCAGAAATTGCAAAAGACATAAGAAAAACCTATAATGCTCTGCTCAGCATTTTGCAGTTGTTGGAATATCACAGGTTTCACACTACCTGGACAAAACTTACACTGCTGTTTTCAACTGAAACTTTCACTGAGCACTGACCTGGGTCTTTACTTCCCTTTGGTAATTCACCAAGGTTAAACCCTCACATGAAAATCTACTAACTCACAGCAAATTAATCTAGCTTTAAGCCCCATCCAACCTGAAAAATTGACTTCATCTGTCTGTAGTGAAAAAAGATAAAACAGAAAAAGAAAAAGTTAAGCTTAATTGCAGCTTATTGTGCCTAGACTGCTGTGATGCGTCATATCTGCAAGAAAACCAAGCTGAGTGAAACCACAGAAAACTGGGGTGTAAAAACTTGCAGAGTTGTAGTAGGTTAAAAGCTACACGTCTTTGACCAGGAAAAAAACCTTGTACTTTTTTATGTGTCTTTCAAATAAATCTGAAACCTCGGGTACATTTCCAGGAGGCCTGAGCTCTTTGTAGCTTACTACAGCACTATCAAACTTGCAAGTGTTTTCTTTCTATTGGAAAGTCACAACTATTGTACGTTACACTATCCTAAAGTACACATCTGCCTGTATTACATTACTGTCAGAACAGTAGTTTATATTGGATATAAGCGTTTCAGCACACGGTGCTTGCAAAGGCCACAGGAGAATTTCCTGAGCTTTGCTCTCTGAGGATGTCTGGAACTCCTTAGCAACCTTGCTAACGGACTGAAACCGCAGCCTCGAGGTAGCAGGTGGTGTGTCTGTATACCTGAAATAGCTGCTGGCAGCAAGCAAGCACACAGACATCTCCAGCAAATCATTTAGCACAGAGTCATCAAACCAAGCACATAGACAAAGACACGTTCAGCTGAGACTGATGGAAGCAGGAGAAACAGTCATGAGCGCTGACTCCTGCAGTTGCCTTGTATCACTGCAGAGAGCACACAGCTTTAGAGGGTGTTTTCATGACAGTTTGATAATAGGCTTCATGTAAGCCTGCTTTGGATGTAGGGGCATCAGGAAGGTGTGAAATAACAGAGTGTGAGAGACAGTGATTTAAGTGCTTGAATTGCTCGGCCCACTAGAAGCCCTTATACATGTCAGTCTATGCTACAGGATATATTATCCACAGCGAGCTGCCTTGTGCCTTCCTGGCATTGCCTCAGCTACAACATTTTTTTTCCTTCCACTGATAAACTTCATCAAGTACAGTTTGCAGTTGTTCTACATGAAACAATTTCAGGACTGAAATGTCACCTAGCTGCATAACCATAAACGTTTTGCCCATCCCTTTAGCTTTCAAGGCAGAGTTCTGGTGTTTCTCTCATCCTCTGCCATGCAGCTAAGGGAATATAGGTCCTTATTACACACAGCTGACCTTTTATTTTCTGCTACATGCATTCAATTTCAGATGGCCACGGGTAAGGTCTTGAGATGTTGTTTTCCATCATGGTAAACTAATAGGAGGTCTCCATTTTTACACATTTAATAAACTTGAGAGCTAGCTTTTCAGTGTTGCATGAAAAACAGAGGTCATTCAGAAGGTTATAACTTTTTTGAACAAAATAACTGTTGTGACACTTCTCTGCAAGGAACGAAGGACAAAAGCCAATAAACACAAGGCAAATCATAGCAACCCATGTAAATAAGAAATTCTAAATAAGTAATTTTCCTTTTCCAAAGAGATCTGAATTCTCAATATGAAATTTAAACAGGAGATCCCACAGCAAACAGATGGAGTTGACACATTTAACCTTGATTAACCCTCATTTGAAACTTAAATTCAGTGACACATTTCTTGCAAGAAGAAAACACCCCAATTTCACATGCTACTTGCGCTCACAATTGCTTAAGAGCCGCACACCTCCCCTTTCCACCCAGTGACATATTTCCACCTGGTTTACTATGAACGGCTATGGGTAACTCCACCTTTCATTTAACACCCGCTATCTTCAGGCTTCTCTCCAACTTCCTCAGGTCAATACTTAGCTCTGGGGTTCCAACAGCCCGATATCACTCTACGTACCGCGTTTTAAACCTCAGTGTCTCCGCTACTGAAGTTATATGATACTAACCATCTCCGCTCTCGTCCACCCGCCAATAACCCACGCTCACACACCGCTCCTCGTTTTCTCTCGCTCACACCTCCCAACATCCCTGCTGTAGGGCTCTACAGGCCATTCCCTTAGCACACCCAGCACCTCGCCTCCTCTGTCACTCGGCCACGACCAAGGGCTGCTCCTCAGGACCTTCCCACACAAGGTCAGCCGTGCTGGTATCACTGGAAGTTGCTCTGGACTTGCAACTTTGCTGAGGTGTCCGTGGCCATTGCACCCGTGTGGGCACTGCCAGCACCGCTCGCCGCCCGCCTGCTGGCTGAGGGCCTCGTGTCGAGGCTAGGAAGTCTGCTAGCCCTGCTTTCCCAAGGGAAGGCGTTTTAGCACCCCTAACACCTCGCCTCAGTCCGGATCCGGATCTGAAAGCGACGAACTCATCTCACCTACAGCCCTTCGGCACGCTTACTCCTAAAAACAAGCAGCGATTTCCCGATTATTCCTCAATACCAATGCTCTCGCATCGACTCCCCTTCAAACAACAACGCATTCAAAAAAACTATCACCCCGCTCGGCATTACTTCACCGAGCCGAGCGAATTAAACTTCGTAACCCCACGACTCCCAGACGGGGCACGGCGTATCTCAATAGCAGCGTACAGCAGCGCCGGGCGGCCCCGACAGGCGGGCGGGCGGTAAGCGCTGCCCCGGCGCAGCCCACCGGTTGCAGAGCCCGGTCCGCCATACCGCTTCCCTGCGAGCCCGCGCAAGCAATCAGGAGCAGCACCTCGCTCGGCTCTGCCAGCCTCGCGCTCCCCGGATCCCTTCTCCCCGCCGCCCAGCCCAGCCCAGCCCAGCCCCGCCGCGCGGCGGCTCCCTGCTGCCCCGTACCTGGCAGTGCGCTAACCGCCCGGTGCCCTGGGGAGAGGGAGCAGCTTCTCCCGCCGGCCCGGCGCGGCCGCGGGCAGCCGGCTTTGTTACTACTCGGAGGATCGGCGCCGTCGCTATAGAAACTGGCTGCGCCTCGGAGCGGCGGCGGCGAGTGGCGGGCGGGGGTGCGGGGCGAGGCGAGGCGAGGCGAGGCGGGGAAGGAGCCGTTCATTCAGGAAGATCCCGGCCTCCCCCGCCGCTCTGCAGCCGGCCCCCGGCGCCGCCCTCACCTCAGCGTGCTCCGCTCCCCGCCGCCCGACCCTGGGGTGGTGCTTTCCGCACCTTCTCGGCCGCCCCAGGGCGGCGAGGTCACCGGGTGGCGGGTGTCCGCTCCGCGAAATGGCGGCGGTTAGCCTGGGCTGCTGCCCCGTTCGGTCTGTAGCCTCTCGAACTTCTTCACGTTTCATTTTGTCAGTGTGAATAAGCTCCGTGGCCGTTGGTGAGGAGCTGCTCTCGGGCCGGAGCTTGCTGCTGGGAACCTTAAAATGAGCGCTCTGAAGTGGAGGGGGTTTTGTTCACTCGTTCATTTGATGGCAGCAGGGCCTGAGGGGCGAGGAGTCATAGAATCGTTTGAGTTGGATGGACGTTTAAAGGCCGTCTAGTCCAACTCCTCCGCGATGAACATGGACACCTACAGCTAGATCAGGTTGCTCAGAGCCTGCTCCAGCCTGACCTTGAATGTCTCCAGGGACGGAGAGCATCCATCGCATCTCTGGGCAACCTATTCCAGTGCCTCACCACCTTTACTGCAAAAACTTTTTTCTTATATTAGGTCCCCTCTTTTATTTTGAAACCATTTCCCCCTGTTCAGCAGCAAAGGAAGAACAAAGTCTGTTATTCTGAGTGCTGTGCAGGCAGCTGACAGGAAGGGAAGTGCGGGTGGTAAAAAGGGTGATGATGGATGAAAGAATGGAGGGAGAGGACAACAGTGAAGCAGGTTAAAGCGGATAATGTTCACCTACCTGGCCATCACTGCCTGGAAAAGACAAGCTTGGCAGAATCTGTGGCTGCTCTTCTGGCAGAGATCTTATGCTTCTCCCACAGCCAAGTGGATGGGAAGTGCCATCAGGCCGTGATGCTTTGAGTATCAGAGTCTCTCTTGAGTTACCCTGAGGATGGCATGCTTTCCCACAGCAACAGCCAACTGCATGTCACAGACACTCACCTGCACGTCCTTCTTCCTGCTTTGCATGGCAGGCAAAAGCTGAGTCAGTTCCTCTTCCTCCAGTCTTCTTTCTTTCTTCATCCACTAAGGGCTCAGTGGTATCAGTTTGTTGAAACTCCCTGAAACATTCTTATTCCCTCAATAATAGTAGAGACAAAATCACTCAAAGCGCGAGACAAGTGTCTTCCTTTCCCTGGCTTGTCTTTCAAGTTTGCCAAACCAAAGAAACCCAACAAGCAAGATGCAGCTTAGAGGCTGCATTATCCATCTCAGCTCCTGCTTCTGCTAAGCTACAGGGGATGACTGTTAAGTATCAGCACTGCAAGTCACTGTGAGCTGATGAATCTGTGCCAAGAGCTGCTGGCACTCTGCAGAAAATACTCTTTAGGAAGAATTTGCCAAAGACAAGAAAGGCTGCCCCCCAGGAACTCTTCACAAAGCAGTGCAGCTCACAGCAGAACTGCTGGCAGATCCTATCACAGCCAAACACAATGATGGCACAAGGGAGAGAGATAGAAGGTTGGATATGAAAGACGGGTCGCCGCATATTTGTCTGTCTTATTTGCATGCTAAATACTAATTGTAGAGTTAAAAAAATGTGAGTCCAGCCAGAGCCTAGCACAGTTAAATGGAATATTTTACCTTAGCAAATTCACTTGCTCTGAGGTGGAAGGAGTAGTATTAGAGAAGTGAATGACGTGCCATGTGCCAACTTCTATAGCAGCCGAGACATTCTTCTCCTGTTTCCTATATATAAAATAATATTTTCATCTTTTCAATCACATAGAGGAACAGTATTGTTATTTAATTTTGTTCTTCAAAAAGCCTGGAAGCTGGAAAGCAAGTGGTGTCCTAGAACCTTTTGGAAAAGGAAGTGTGCTAGTTAACGTGTTGTGAGAAGTGTTTGGTGACACTAATGTTGCTGCAGGAAATGGTCATTGTTTCAACAGCAAGAAACAATGTCATTGGTAGGATGCCTCATTTTTCTTACAAAAGATTTTCACAGCACTTTCTTCCAGGTGTAAGTCCAGAAAAATTATTGAAAGACTTATTTGATCTCTAGTCTCACTGAAATAAAGCACTCGAGTATTGTTATTATTTTGCGTGGTTTTGGGGCTTTTAATCATTGATGCAACTTTACATGCACACACTTCTAAATGTATTTCCCACTCTAGGCTGAAGGTAAGTAATATTTCCAGAAGGTGCAATTGAGACAGTTGGGTGATATCTAAAAGATTTGCAGACAGGCACGATTAGGTGTGTCTTAATATTGTGCAGATATAGGTTACTTTTCTTATCAATATCATAATGATATTTTGCTGAAAGAGATCAGATGTTTTTATAGATGATATAATCTGTATCTTGAGGACAGATCCTTTGCCAGTTTACCATTCTAGTTCTTGTTTTGTTGTGTTTTTTTTTTTTTCTTTTTTTAAACTCCACTTGAAATATATCTGGTTTTACCTGGCTTAATGTCATTTAAAACCTAACTGTTCAAATACATTTGAAAGTAGGACACTGACTGCAAATAGGCCAGTTTGATATTGAGACTGATTAACGGTATTTCTATAGACATCATGGGGGTAATGAAGCACAAAAAAATAGTAAATTCTTGCATTTCAGTGATTAATCACTATTGTATTCCCACGGAGTAATCAGCACCACATTTTGTAACATGTTAACACTAAGCTATCCTGCTTCTTTGTGACATTTTGTCCCCAGTTCTCCCAGTCTGGGTTAAGAACGATATTTTCAAATCAACAACTGGAATGCCTTCTGGCAAAACTATTTAGGAAATGTATACTTCCTTGGGAGAGGGTGAGGAAAAAAAGAAAAAGGAAAAAAAAGGACATTTGAAAAAATTAAAGAGCATGCTGATATGACCACTGCCAGCTTCTGACTCAGCAGTGACATGAGCCTCTTTCTCAGTGTGGAGGATTTTTTCCAGTAACACAGTGTACCGAGGGAGTTCATCGTGGAACACTGAACAAGTATTAATATTCACATGGAGCAGAAGAGCAGCTTTTGATGGTGTCCCCTCTCTCTTGGCACTTGTCCTTACTCGGAACGCCGCTTGTCCCACCAAACACTTATTCCATTGGACTGTTTGTTCTCTTAAGCAGAGCAAAGTATCCTTAGCACACCACTAGAACATTAAAGAAAGGATTCTTCAGTCTAAATGAAATATATACTTAGGATACTATCAAAACCAAACAAATAAATAAACAGAAGGGGAGAGGTAAGACGTGGTAAAATTGAAATAACATTATTTGATACTAATATTAATTATCATTACCAGTATTATTATTAGCATTGTGGTGCCAGGCACTGTATTCCCACAGAACAAAAATGAAGATAATTTCTGCCCCAAGGAGTTTACATTAGAATTAAATGTTTTTCTTGAGGGCTGGAATTTGTTACACATTTGTGTAGTGGCTAGCAGAGTGGGGCCTAGTTTAATTGCAGCCTTTTAAATATGCATAATGTACATTTTAATCAATGTAATAATTGCAGTGGTATTTCTGTCAGGATGCAGTGTAAAGCCTTTATCCTGTGTCTAGGGGCTAGCTGTCCTTCTGGAAACTAGGGACTTTTGTACCTGGAAAATGAGTTGGGGTGATAACTGAAGGAAGTAATAAAATGTGAGTATGCTAAGATAGGAGATGAGCCCCTGGGCTCCAGCTTGTTAAGGAAAAATTTCCCTTTCATGGAGCTACTGTATGGTTTTTGATTGTATTGAGGAAACACTGCCTTGAAGGAACAGTATGTGTAAATGTGTTCAGACTTTCAGCTGATTCCTTAACACAGTAATTATCGGATGTTTATAAAGTCAACTTGTGGTGGAAGAGAAGGTACTGCTGAGCATTCAAAACTGCTGGAAAGCAAATACTGCTACTATCTGGTTGACTTTCAATGTGACTAGGCTCATGTCTGCCCTTCACTGTGTATTGCCATGCTGAGAGACCCAAGCTACTATAAACAAGGCAGCCAAGTCACCTGCTGAGAGACAGGCAATAGATGAGTCGAAACGCAGTGCTGTAAGTTACAGACATGCTTGGCAGTGTTTGCACTCGCTGTGGGGGGCAGCACAGATATATCCCAAGGGTATGCACACTCAGGCCTCCTGTGACAACCTGGCATCTCTAGGAAACATATGAGTTAGCAGAGTATGTTAAAAATCTCACTGATCTGGAAAGGGGTAAAAGGATGTGACAGCATACAGAACGCATGCTGTTATTTGTTTTTGCTTGCTGTAAAAGTCTCAGAAATAGTGAACAGAAACTTATCCTAAGGAGATCAATAAACACAACAGAGACTAAATGGATTCATGCTAGGAAAACTTAAATCTGGATGGAATATTCTGTGTAATTCACACAACCTACTGGGATCTGAATTGAGTGCAACTGCTCGGAAAATCCTGGTGTTACTGTGGAAAGCTCAATGGAAGCAGTGTTTAGAAAGTGAGCAAAATGTAAAGAAAGATCAGACTGGAAATGTTGTAATTCCCACAGTTCAGTCAACTGCTTCAAGTTATCTTGAATACTTTGTTCAGTTCTGGGAACTGGACTTCAAAACAGATACAGCAAATATTGAAACTATCTAGAGAGAGAAATTATTAGAGGCTGAGAATGTTCTATATGGAGAAACTGAAAAGATTAAACTTGTTTAAGGATGGCATGAATAAAAGAAGACATGATAGAACTTTATAAAAAATAATGAATGGCAGGGAGAAGATAAAACCTGCATTTCTAGTCACATTTTTAATATATATATACACTTTAAGAACAAGTATTCACCCACTGTATCATTAAAATGATAGAAACTTTAAAGTGCTGAAAGGAAATATTAGCCACTGAAGTGGAAGCATTTAGTTACTTGAGATAGAATTTAAAGAAAGGATTTGATTATATAAAATGCGTAAAGCAATAGAAACCTTCCCATTTCAATGCAGAAGCCTGGAGTTAAGAAGGCAGCGAAGGAGGGTCAGGGAAAAGAACATTAAGAGAAACTCCTCTTGGGCAAATTACTGAATTTCCTGAGAATTCTTCTGACTTGTGATCATTAGTGGGAGGATATGCATTAGATATTGGCTTTCAGCTGATATGCAGATTCGCTTTCTCATCCAGGAAGGATTAGCATTCCCCTCAGCCACGGGCACACATCTGTATCTATGTGTGTATCCTCCCTATCCAGTTGAACAGCACTGGAAGTTTATCTTCCCACAGATCACCAAAGGGCTGCACTACTGGGAAAAGGCAAAGCCTGCATTTTAAACTCATTTGCATATCTGGCTTCTGGGAGCTTAGATATCTAAAGACACATCCAGCTGACAGATATGGCCCTGTATTTGGTCCAGTGCTGCCAAGCACCAGCTGATTCCAGTCTGAGAATCATTCAAATATGGTAGTGTGCCAGAACTTGTGACCTGCTAAGCGGTTCACACTTAACCCACCTCAGAGCTGGA